CCGGGATCTACCATTGCTGTACGTTCTGCTCCAGTGGAGGTCAGAAGGACGCCCGCTGCGGATGTGGAGGCTCCATGCCTGGTAAGTGGGGGGGGAGGTCTCTGCGGGGGGTCCCCGCCCCCCTAATCTGTACTCATGATCTCTCTTCCTCTTCCCCACAGGGGGGTTGGTCAGAGACTACAGACACACTACAGGGGATGGTCAGAGACTGCAGGCATAATACAGGGGATGGTCAGAGACTGCAGACATACTACAGGGGATGGTCAGAGACTGCAGACATACTACATGGGATGGTCAGAGACTCCAGACATACTACAGGGATGGTCAGAGACTGCAGACACACTACAGGGGATGGTCAGAGACTGCAGACATACTACAGGGGATGGTCAGAGACTGCAGACATACTACAGGGGATGGTCAGAGACTGCAGTCATGATACAGGAGACGGTCAGAGACTGCAGACACACTACAGGGGATGGTCAGAGACTGCAGACATACTAGATTATGACGTACATAAAGATTACTGCTAGAGGGATACACAGACTACTGTCTGCAGGGACCCTGAGGGCCACACAGAAGGTTTCAAAGAGCCGCAGGTTGGACACCAGGGCACCTACTGTGCAGAGTGATATGACACATGTACTGTCTGTGTTTGTGGGCGTGAGACCAGCGTGAGTCCCACTCTCATTGGATGATATCATGTCATGTGACGACACAGAAGACATGACACTTGGCTACAGTGTACAATCCGGGGCCCCTGGCAGTATATCAGTGTACAATCCGGGGCCCCTGGCAGTATATCAGTGTATAATCCGGGGCCCTCCCCCGGTGTCATGTGACTCGTTAGTGTCCCTCCCCCGGTGTCATGTGACTCGTTAGTGTCCTTCCCCCGGTGTCATGTGACTCGTTAGTGTCCCTCCCCCGGTGTCATGTGACTCGTTAGTGTTACGAGGTCTCCGGTGTGTTACATTTGGTGTTCTCGCTCTCTCATACTGGTCGCTGGAAGTTCTACACGGCGGCTCATGGCAGAGAACTCTCTGCGGATCTGAAACATAAAGATGGCCGCCGAGGCTATAAGAAGATCGCCGAGACCCTGAAACTGAGCCGCGGCACGGTGGCCAAGACCATACAGCCGGTGTAACAGCAATTTGGAGACCAGAATGAGCGAAGCTTTCACTATGGATTCCTCACAGGCGGAGCGCATTTGGTATGACTCCGCCTGTGACAGGAGGCGGGGCTATAGAGGAGGCATCGGCTTATGCGGCTCTGCTCCCTCCGGTGCCGCCTCGCTTCCTCTAGCGCCGGCTTCGTTGGCACCGCCGATTCTCTCCCGCGGCTCTTCTCCCTTATGCCACCACCGGCCCCGGGAATGGTCTTATTTGGGGGGAAACAGGGTAATAAAATATTTACAAAGATGCGAGGGGTGTACTTACTTTTGTGAGATGCCGTGTACATTACTGTGCAGTATATATAAAATGGCGCCACTGAGAAAACTGGGATATCCGGAACCCAATCTGATGAACACGATATCAATGAATGACTGCATAGGAATCAATACTGAGACCTTTGAAAAACATGAACAGTGTTTATTATGTTTTTAAACATTAAAGTCGGGGGAAAAACAGCGTGCAGTCCCCCTTCCCCATTCATACTAGACCCTTTAGGTCTGATTGGAATTTTTAGGGGGGGACCCACCCCCCCCCCCCACAAAAAAAAGGCGGGAAAATGTGTGTGCGTCTTATCAAGCGAATCCCTAGTTTCTTGTACATTTAGCCCTGCTAAAGCAGAGCTAAACGTACAATGGAAGCCGCTACTCTATTCAGATCACTTGTATTAAAACCGAGCGGAGGCGCCCCCCCCCTCCCCCCGTGGTTTTCGGGTCACCCGCTCCTCTGGGGGACCCGTGACCACGGTATAGGAGCTCACCACAGAGCCCGTAGAGCAGACGAAGAACGGCCGTTCTCCGCCTGCTCTGTGTGATCGCTGAGAGCGCCACCTGTCTGTGGTCACTGAACTGCGGCTTCTGTCACGGGAACCGCCTGCGTCCTGTGTAGCGGTGCGCCTTTATGGAGCGCAAAGTACGGTAAATTATTTTATTTCTATATAATGAACATATTTCATGAAGACAAGGCGCCATCCGTGAGTCTTCTTTTCCTATATTGCCAGAGGTCCGCTGTAACTGCGCATGCGCCAAGCGAGAATTACACTGGTACTGGTACACTGCCGTACCAGCGAGAATTCCGCCATTCGGGTCAATGCGCAGAAGATCGCCTCCAGCCGTGCAAAATGGCGCACAGGAAGTGACACACAAAATGGCACACAGGAAGTGACACATCAACCTAACTACTTCCCCTATAAAAGGCCCGGCTCAAGCACCACCATATGGCTGGATTCTCTTTCAGCTCTCCTGTGATATTCTTCTTGCCTTGACCCGGATTGGACCTGATGACTCTTGCTTGCTGCCTGCCCCCTCGACCTTGGATTTGTTTACTGGACTTTGATTTTGTCTGACCCCTCTGTACTGTGATTGCTCGATTGGATCTGACCCCGGCTTGCTTACTTGGATTTCGGTTACCAGCATTCCTGGATATCGGCTTGCACGGTGTTATCACCACTGGCACTCGTGCCACTCGCTGTCTACTTGGACTCTTCCCCCCGTGGTTTTCGGGTCACCCGCTCCTCTGGGGGACCCGTGACCACGGTATAGGAGCTCACCACAGAGCCCGTAGAGCAGACGAAGAACGGCCGTTCTCCGCCTGCTCTGTGTGATCGCTGAGAGCGCCACCTGTCTGTGGTCACTGAACTGCGGCTTCTGTCACGGGAACCGCCTGCGTCCTGTGTAGCGGTGCGCCTTTATGGAGCGCAAAGTACGGTAAATTATTTTATTTCTATATAATGAACATATTTCATGAAGACAAGGCGCCATCCGTGAGTCTTCTTTTCCTATATTGCCAGAGGTCCGCTGTAACTGCGCATGCGCCAAGCGAGAATTACACTGGTACTGGTACACTGCCGTACCAGCGAGAATTCCGCCATTCGGGTCAATGCGCAGAAGATCGCCTCCAGCCGTGCAAAATGGCGCACAGGAAGTGACACACAAAATGGCACACAGGAAGTGACACATCAACCTAACTACTTCCCCTATAAAAGGCCCGGCTCAAGCACCACCATATGGCTGGATTCTCTTTCAGCTCTCCTGTGATATTCTTCTTGCCTTGACCCGGATTGGACCTGACGACTCTTGCTTGCTGCCCCCCCCACCCCCCATTTGTTTACTGGACTTTGATTTTG